ATACCTGCTGGATGGTATCAGCGCCATTGAAAGCCATTTCTCCTTTTACTTCTCGAATCTTCAACAGTCATCTTATCGAGCTTGAATGGAGGTTGCAAGGGGTTGACAGGTCATGACGAAGTACAGCTTGCAAGGTTTGCTATACTGGTACGCGTCCCCCTAAGGTAATTGACGCCAAATACTCTTATTTATTTCCTGCTAGGAACCTAACGGTGGTATGAGTTGGTCAGAGGCAAGTAGCAAGCTGCTACGCCGACTAGGGTACATAGGCCCAACATTTAGCGTAGGGTGTATCATGAGCATGTGGGAAACGGTGGTTTGTGCTGTAGCCCCCCCCCTCCCCAGTGAGGGCTCCGGTAAGGCTACATTTGCACCCCACCCGTATTAGCGCCAACACATTATCTATGATGCGAATTTCCACTGAAGCTCGTTCGAGCTGTGAAGGGGGTTCAGGTCTGAAAATCAGCAATCGGAAAAGTTCTACCGATGCCAATAAGACCCCCTCCACAGCAGTTGAATACTGCCCCTTGATGGGATTCGTACAACATGATATGCGCTAGTTTAGCGATGTTCACACCAAGGTGTTTCTACTTGTAAACTGATATGCCACTCCGAAAAATACAAAATGGGTGGGGTTGTCGGAGGCGTGGCGCGGTTCCCGCTAAAAGGCACATCAATCGACTCGTGCTTTATTACTGTGCATATTTTGTGTATCCCCGTGGCCATATATCACCCCAGCGGCCCACACATCGTCGTACGGATCACACGTACACTCAAAATCCCCAAGATGTGGTAGGCGTGGCTGCGTGCTTGCATTGTATGGGGCAGTGCTGAGCTTTTCATGAGATCATTGGATTTTGAGAACAGTTGTAATCATGCCTTTGATCAACACAGAACAAGATGGCAGTTGTCTCAAATTGAAATATCTCACGATTGAGCCAACCCCATGCCACATTGTAATGCCACGCCCACTTCATCTCAGGGATATGGAGTGTACCTAAGGGGGGGAGGGGCGCATTTGGACGTTGGAAGGAAGGAAAATCATATTTGGTCTTGAGAAAACATTTATTCCGATCATGTTTTTTGCGGTATTACGTGGGCTTTACACTACTTCAATAAGCCACATTTCATCCCCACTCGCTATTGCGACGTGTCAAACTGGTACCGAGTACACGCGCGCACCAGAGCCTTGCTTTTCACGTTGAGGGGAGGGGGGGGTAGTGCACTTATTCCTTGCTTTCGGTTGAGCGGGAGGGAGGGGGGCTACTGACACCTCTATTTCACGATCTCCATCAGGTTTGATTTTCACAAAGTATCTAGAATAGGTTCGATCTGGTGGACAGGGTATATAACAGTAGCGCCTCACACCACTGCAAAATTACCAAATTTTCTATGAACAGCAAGTTTATCAACATGAAAAAGTCCCAAACACATTAATATTCAGTCGAGAAGAGATTCAAGGGGTAAAGCCTCACCATAGTTAAGCCATAGACCTAGGGATTATTGGACATTGTTTTGGTTTTCCCTTGCTTATGTTTACTCTCGTGAGTTCGCGAGAGAACTCTTTATCCAGCTGTGGCATAAACGTGGGAAACATGCAAAAACATAAACATCTAGCCCTAGAAATCGAAGACCTCATCAGGGGTTAGAAAACCGCTGAGCAAACAAGAAACAAGCCATCCGGAATGAAAAATTAAATTCTCAAATGTGTCGCAGAAAAACGAATCAAAAATACAATAGAAAAGAAAATTACTGAACTAAAATATCACAAGTGGATGAAGTAGTAACATGTAAGAGAAAAATTCTTTCTACATAGAAACAGGTCGCCACTGTTCCACCGCGAGGTAGTAAGAAAATCAACGGAACCGCAAAACGGAATTCGTAAAAAAAAAGCGAAGTTGAAAAAAATGGACAAAATTCTGGGAAAAAGCTTCATGAAGAGGATCAAACGGATACAGCGACAATACAATGAAAAAGAAGTGGGATAGAAATGAAAAGAGCCCTGCATGACCAAGGTTTGACAAAAATAAGTAAAAAAATGTGCGGGTGTTATGTGCAGCCAGCACCTGTTTTTCCCGCGCCTATTGACCCTGCCAATCAATTCTAAGGTGACGGGGGTGGGGGTTACATTTCCCATGAAGGTCAATTGTACCTCATGGGTACCCGACGGGATAGGGGCTTTATTTGGTCATTAGAAGGGAAGGGATCGTACTTGACTTGGTGAAAATTTGTTGATTGGTGGTTTGTCCGTTTCCCCCATTACCCACTATTACGTTACCCCCATTTTATCGATGACCTTTTGAAGCTGTACTATATTAAAAAAGTAAATCTTAACTTTAAGTTGAATTTCCTAAACTTCACTGTACCTTATCTTGAAACTGATCGGAGGTGTTCACCCACCCCTTCCATGTCGAATAGGTTGTATCTGTCGAGGAAGATGACGGGAGCCGAAATTCTGTTTCCATCTTTTGAAAGTCAGTTAGCTAGTATGAAAACCGTCGCTTGAGAGCACAAAAACGCGGACTATACATCGGCTAGTCTTTTGTGTAAGCCAAATCACAGTCAGAAAGTTAGCGCGATTCAGAATAAAAGTAAAATACATACCGCATTCCAACAAGGCTGATTACCTGCGAAGTTTCATTATTTTATCTCCTTGCTCGCGCATGCGAAAGTGCAGCAGATGAGCAATAGGCGCTGTTTGCCGACGGGGGGGGGGCATTTGGCATTTTGCACTTTCACGACTTCCCGATCGACGTGTCGACCCATCTAGACAGCCTATTCTGGAGTGACAGTTCTACGAATGATGGCTTTGACGAGCTGCTCCGCTATCACAAGACGTTCACATTTCACCATAGCTGAAAACTTGTCAAACCGGGACTAGTAAAGCAACGAAGTGCAAAAATGCCCTCGCCTCACCCGTCGGCCAAACTGCGCTCGACCAATATACATTTGCCGTCAACTTTCATGCAAACCAATTTCCACAAATGCCTTTTGTTGCGCAACGATTTTGAATCATTTCACAAAATTTCTTAGAACTCGCCCGCAGCCCTAGTGTCACACACGTAACTATATATTTATATTTCGTATGACATATCACTACATATTTCATCAACATTACATAAATAAGCAATGTAGTACTGTCGTAGGTGATGCGTCATCGCGTGCCTTAAAATTAAAAATGCAGTGCAAAAGTAAAGTGTATTAAACAACGACAGTTGTATATCATGCATGTGAACGCATACAGACATAGGGAGGTGGGATAGCCGTCGTCATTGAACCCCCCCCCCCTCCTTCCAGTACACAGCCTCTTCAGTCCTTACCTGCAGGCCTGGAAGGTTCCCGAACTGTTCAAACCGCGAACAATTCTTTCTCAAGTTTCGTAAAAAAATTTCCCGAGTTTTCTCTCCCAAAGAGGGTGAAGAAGGAAGGAGGCCTTCACCATCACCACCGTTCGTCTATCAGAACCAACTGTAAGAAAGAGCTGAGAAAAAAATCCGCAGCTGAAGAAAACCTCTCTCTAATAAGCCATGTACTATCACTCCGCGCTTCAGCGGGATTCTCCCAACAACACGTCTACTTGTAATAATTTTTCGATCGTATGCCTCTGTCAGGCCTGTAGTCTGTGACGAAGAAATTTTGCAAAATACAACCCCACTCCGAATTCTTCTACTACGACCGACCCCCTCAAACTGCGCCTCTTCTGCTATATCCCCTCCCTTCCCCCTCTGCATCCCAAGACTTTGCGCACTTCCCACCGCTTTCTTTAGTTCTTCCCCCCCCCTCCAAAAAAAAAAAGCCGTTTGACTTCGGACAGTTCTAGGGGTAGTGCATTTGAAATAAGAAAAATCTAGAAAGTTCAACGACTGGAAATATTTTTCTTGAAGACAAGAACTACTCAACCGCCTTCCAGCGACCAACGCGACTCCCCCCCCCCCCTCGCTGAGGCATCCCAAGTGGCTCGTACTCCAAACCCATACGATTTCCTGAGTAAAGTTGAATGCTTCCCATTTGAATGTATCTGCTAAAAGAGAAACTCGCTCGTTCATATTTCTTACCGCAATTCCGGACATGACCAAAGAAAACATTAATCGTGCATCCATCTCGAAAATTAATAATTCTCAAGAATAGAGGTCTACGTCAGTATTCTCTCCTTAATGTTCATCACGTTTGAACGATGGCGAGCGATTACCTGCCCATTGAAGAGTCCACTACAAGCGACCAGATACATCATCGCCGGTAAGTATTAGTGATGTGTTCCACTGATGCCTGCGTTAGTTTATTGTCAATTGCGTCGGCGCAGTTTGTTTTGTCGACGGGGGGGGGGGCATTCTGCTTTCCATAGATGTGCCGACCCATCTAGGTAGCCTTTTCTCGAGTTGACACGTTTTAGGATGGTGGCTAGACGATCTTGCACCAGCTTCACAAGGGTTCACAAGTTTTACCAGGGTGAGATTTGTAAACCGGAACTAGGGAAGCAATGGTAGTACAAAATGCCCCCCGTCGACAAACAGCGCCTGTCAATTGTTTATTGTGTGTTTGTAAAATTGCCTAAGACATACACAAGACTGTAGAGTGAGTGCTACTGCTGCAACAGAACTCATTGATTTCTTTGAAGGCATTCAGTTCAAGTACTATTTCAGGTACATGGATCGTGGCGATGATCATGTCCTCACCAGAACCGTACACACTTCAGCTAAAAAGTGCCCAATTTCGTCGGCAAAACTTCTCGTCAACAGTGAGTTTCCGGACTTTGTTTAGAGAATAATCAGCTTCTGGGGCAAGACGCGGCGTCCCGCGCGCCAACGCGACGACCTCCTCGTCGCGCGCGGAAAACTCCCAACAGGTGGGGCGTCGCGCACGCCGCATCTTGACCCGGAACCTGTAAATGTTCTCTGAGTGCAAAATAAAAGAACATAATACCTTTTTCAGTGGGGTACTCGATGTATTGCTTCATGGTCAAGTGAAACTGAACAGCAGTATCAAATAGTGCTGACGCTGTGCGCCTATTTGTCACCTCTG